GAGCCCAGAAGATGTAGCCTGGGAGAGATCAGGTGATCGAGAAGCATCATGTGACTACCAGACTATATAAGGAGCTCTCTATAGCTCTCAAGTGAGAGAGCTGCAGGAGGTGCTGAATCCAAGAGAAGAGCTCTTGTCCAGGGAGCCCTGACGGAAGGCTGTGGAAAAAAACCTGTGAGGAGACAGGACTAAAAGGGAGCTTGTGGAAGCGGTGAGTCAAGAAGGAACAGGCCTGAAGCAATATAAGACTGGTGTGGGCTGGAGGCTCAGTGGTAAGTCTTTATTTGGGGGCTTCTAGCAAGGGAAGAAGCAATTCTTTCAACCCTGTAGCATCAAGGTAAGGATCCATTAAGCTTGATGAGGGCAAAAGACTATTTACTGGGTCTGGGGAAGTCAGATTTATAACTTCTGAATCCTGGGGAAGAGCTGATCACACTATGGAGTTACACCTGAGTCAACAGGGTAAATAAAAAGCTGGGTTTGGGATGGGCGAAGACCATTCAGCCCATGGAGAGCAACCTTGCATTATTAACCGGGAGAAGGGCTGTTTTGTTTGGTTAGTCACCGAAAGTGGAAGAATTCTGAGGTTTGCCCAGATGGCTAAACCCCAATCACTTATCCCCCAGGAGGAGACTGCCTGCTACTCTGAGGAAAACTGAGGCAGCAACCGGTAAGGTAAGCAACCCAGTTACAATATGAAATGACTTTTACAAGGTTGTTGGGGGTATTTTTGTGACAATTTTCTTAAGGTTATTCAAGCTTGTGTGGGACTATTGCGTCATATCAACTTCCAGCCAGGGAAGAACTAAATGAAATCACTCCGACTGAACTATTTGGGGAAGTTTGCACTGATGTTCCAAGGAGCAACAGTTCCTGCAAAAGTGGCTGTTCTGGCATTGCACCGCAGTTAAGACCGACGTTAATGTTTGAGCTGAAATAGCTTAAAGGGGGTTTCAACACAACCAGTGCATTCATACGGAGGACTTGGTGGAATACCATTTAGCTGGCCAACTGTAAAGTGTGTTTCTAAGTGTTCATAAATAAAACCACACTACACTGAAGTGTGGTTTTACTATAAAATGGGAATGTCTGACTCCAGGCCCACTCCTGTAATTTATTGCATGTGTGTGCACTACTGGACTTGTAGTGGGCCCCATTGAGAGCAGTGGGGTTCCACATGGCTGTAGGGTCCCACCTGTGCCGTTCCATTTACAGGATCTATCCCCAAGCCTACGCAGGGCCATGCAGCATCTGTTTCCATTTGTGACTACAGCTCTTTTGGACTCTCGAAAGGATCAAAACCTGTGCATAAATTCTGCATTCAGCACAGATAAGTCATGCTGTCCTTTGAGCAGGAAGCGTTAGATGCTGGCTCGACTTCATGCAGGACCACTCAGTTAAGTAATTTCTCCGCCACTCATGGCTCTGGCTTCACTGCTTTCCCTCACTACTTCTTGTAGATGGTGTGTACTGGTTAAGGTGAGCTCTTTCTCCTGAGGGCAGTTAAAAGGAGTTCCCTATCTTATTTGATTCACTGGGTTTCCTGGAAGCAGCACGAGGTAATATTTAAACAGGTACAATAATTTGAGTTATGAAAAGGTAAACATGGAAGATAGAAGTATTCCTATAGACCGTGGGGCTAGATCCTCAGATGGCACGAACTGGTGTAGCTCCACTGACTTCAGTTGAGAATCTGGCCCTATGATTCCAACTTCCACATGTTTTGCTCTACACAGGAGCAAAATTCTGACTTTGTTTCTGACTTGTCTATTATGATCCCTCCATGACTTATGCAACTAAAATGTTCTCTTCCCCCTTACCTGGTACACCTTGTTAAAACATTCAGCAAGGCTCCTGTTATGCTGGGCACTCATATTTGTCTGTATCCATTAAAAAGCATATGCATTATAGTCAATTATCTAAGGTAAATATTCAGCTAGCTTTTGATCCTACGTGGATGATTTGAAAAGGATTTTTCAGCAAAGTAATTGCAGTTTAGCTTTTTGCTCTTGGTAGTTTCCATGTGTCATGGCACTTATAACAGGCTGATATCTGAAAACTGACTCGTTTTTGCATTCAGGAGATAAGTATTTCTTGGGAATGGATAAGTCTGGGGCCTGGAAACAGCACATTGTGAAAGAGGGGGCAATTTGGTTCTACAACAGTAAGCGCTTCTCTTCTTAGCTTTTTATAGTAACTCTCTGCTTAAATTAAAACTGACTTTGTTTTCTTGTTAGTCCGGCAATTTTCTCTCCATGCATTTGTTTTTGCAAAGAGCTGAGGCCCCAAATAACGTAAGTTAATAGTCATAGGCAACTGCTGCCACTAGAGGCTACTCAATCTTCTTTCTGATTTAAAAACCACAGTAAAGCAACCACCAGCACTGTCTTCTGCCTTGTTTAGATGTCTGAGAAGCCAGTTTTGCAGCATGATTCTGAACTTACTCATGTGAGAGCAAAAAAGGTGGAACAGTATTTCCCAGATTTGAGTTACATCACTCCCTCTGCTACTGCAAACATGCATGAATACCTTCATGCACGTGAGTTGTTCCATTAAGCTCACACATTCATTGCCCCAAGTAAATATTTGTTCTCCCCAAAATTATAAAAAGGGCAATTACTTCACGATCACATTTTCAACTGCTGTATTTTTAAGGCCAGGCCTACACTAGAAAAAGTTTGCCACTATGCCTATACTGGCATATCTTTCTACTGTAGACATACTTTTTCCTAGGATAATTTCCATCAGTTGTCTCCTCCCCCCCCCCCCCCTCTGCAAAAAGAGGCTGTACTACCAAAAATGCTTTTTTTTTGGCTGGTGTCACTACATGTACACTGACTTCTGCTAGAATGAAAATGTCACCAACCCCCCACCACTCACATGTGTAATATCCCAGGCCTAAGACACCTACCTTACCAAGTCTGCCTCACCTTGAAATTTAAGCCCACAATGTGGATATACACAGCAACAGTTTTCTTTAAAGAAAATGCTTCTCTGACAGAGCTGTGGTTGTTCACTCAGCATTGTGAAATGAGACTTGGTGAGAATTAAAAAGGAAGAGACACTTCATATAAAACATCCAGAATTATTTTAACCTGCAGATGATCACTATATAAAAATAGTTTTGTTTTAAAAGCTTGGGGGCAGGGAGAGAGCATCCCTTGCTCCAGACTAATTCCGCTCTGTTTAGTTTAGAGTTTTCTGCTATCCTCACCTCTGGTAGATTAAATAGAAATGATCCAACTGTCTTCCTTAATCAAGTATGGATGAGCTAGAATAAGGAATAAAGGGTTCTCTTATCAAACCACCAGATTTAGTTGTCACTTAACTGTTTTAAATTTAGCTACATTTGACTTTAATTCAATCTTCCCCAGTCAGGGCAATAATTGGTAAGAAATGTGTTCCCATATCATTTCTATTTCCACTAAAAGCTGCCTTTATTTCCCTGCTTCCTTTCAGCAAGCAGAATCAAATATGCATTTAAAATGGAAAGACATCTGCATACTTTGAGAATAGTGAAGCTGCAAATAAGTAAGGGCTGCTAACAGTACCAGTAGCGGCCTGTTTTAATGCTTATTAAAAGCCAGAAACTAAGTGGAGTTGGATGTAAATTGAAAAGCACCAATGCTGGTTGATCTGGTAGCAAAGTGGCTGTATTGTGCTGCAGGAAGCTCTCTGGACAGCATTTCAGGGTACTCCAGCTCCTGACATCAAGTAAGAGGGCTGGATTGATGTAAAGGGTTTCTAAAAGCCCTGTATGGGCTGTGGCGTAGGGCAAGGCAAGCACAGCAGATGACAGCTATAAAGCTACCTTCTGAGGTTCCACTTACCCTGCATGCTAGGGTTTGTACGCCACAGTGGAAGTGCTGCAGTCCATACACAAGGCTGCTGTAATGTGGACAGGCCCACAGGGCTGTCATTGACACCTGTGACCTGTAAAGCCACCCTTCCTCTCCAGGCCTCCCATGCTGTGATGTCACCTTGGGTGCAGAGAACACTACTTCATGTTGTACAGATACCTAACTGTTTAGGGGTGGTGCAGGCTGCACTCCATTTAGCTCTCCTTAGCCAGAAAGGGTGTGGCCCCAAAGATGCAGGCTTGAGAAGGAGGAAAAAGGGCTCTAAACAACTTGATAAATATGTGTAGTTGTTAATATCTATCCCTAGGGGGAGTTCTAGTTATGCTAGGAATTAAATAGAGTAATAGCTTGAAGTACAAATATATTTTATTGCAACCTCCATATATTTCAGTATAATTACACCAGTCCATTCTGCATTTTGTCCACTGAATATCCAGACTACAATCAATTTGAAATACAAAACAGTTTTAAAACATGTTAGTGCAATACTAAAGCAGTGCTTTGGGACTGCTGATAAAGCTACAGCTTCCCTAGTATGGCATGGAATATACAGAATAACCCACATAAATATTTCTTTAAGAAATATAGGATTTTCATTCTCATACTTTGCTCCAACCCCACCCTGTTGTCATAGTCTCTACAAGTGTTTCAATACCTAACACTGTACAGTTATCCTAAGTTAACTGTTGAACTTGTCAAGAAAATTCAGGACTGTGAAAATCTTTTGCTCAAGCTGCTCTTGAATTTTAGGCTCTCCACACGTATATTAAAAGTCTTTGTACAATGCAGTGTTGCCATTTCTTCCCTTCACCATTGGTTTGGTTTTCTGCCAAGTCAACTGAGGTTATGGTGCCCTCTAAGAAATTCTATGAGTATCCATATACCTCCCTCATCAGTATTTTAATTTGATGTAGAGTATCAACCAAGAGGAAATAAGTGATTAATGTCTGAGGTGGCCACTATATGGTCAGCACTGGATAATCAAAAATACAATTCCAATACATAAAGCTACACACCAAAATGAAGCTAGATTAACTCCCAATGGAAGAACACTCTTTAAAATTGTTAAACATTAAGACTGAGGCAATTCAAGTTTTAACAATTCTGTCCTGTCAAGTTAAATCAAAAGGTCAGACTTACCCAAAAGGCAGTTGCTTAAACCTTAACTGCAAATCAGTCAACAAAATGATGACAGTTTGAATAGGAGGGTACCACTTCATGCTACTGAGACAAAGGCAAGCACCTACACAAGATGTAAAAAATTCCTATGAACATCTCAGTTTTACCAGCAGGAACCATGTTATAAATAATGGTTGAGGTGGTAATCTTGAAAAGCCTGAAAGAGGTTCTCAAACACATTTAAAGTTAAACAAATTTTAAATAAATATTTATATACAATTATACACTAAATAAAGCTGATTAATGGCTTAAATATAGGTTCCTGGTATTTCAGTGGGGAAACAGTCTAATGACAGCACAGTTTAGGTCTATTTTTGAATTAGAATTTATCACTGCATCTGACAGACAAACTGCAACTAGGAAAGACTGTTAATCCCTTGATGTATCACTTGTGTTGCTACTAACTTCCTTTTGTTTAAAGAGACTTTAGACTCCAACAGATGCAATTCTTCATTTGAAGTTTTGTTTCATTCTGGGGCTCAGACTAGAATATCCACAAGATAAGTAAGCCTGTTTGTGTCTGAAACCATCACATCTGTACTCTTCCTGAAAGTGACGCTAACCTCACACCGTATCACTGGATTACTAAAACTGAACATGTAAGCAGCTGAAAATAACATTTAGAAAAAGGGATTTCTTCCCCATTGTGCATTCCTGTTTTCAGGAATACAGTAATTTGTAAGAAAGGACCAGTAAACGGTGCCTATCTAGACAAATCACTTCTATTAAAATAAGACAGTTATACAGGAAGCCTCACGCATGCTTTCACTCTTAAGGTGGTTCTTAATATAGGGTTAACTGGAGGCATGAGAGAGGAGACATGTTCCAGTGGCTAAATCCCACATAAACAGGCCAGAACTCTGGATTTTATTCTCAGCTTTGTAACAAGAGCAACTAATTTGATTTTCAGAGATGCTCAGTGCCTGCTTCTCAGCCCCCTGACAGTCAGGTAATGAACCTCTATATCTTGAACCTCAGGTATACAATAGGAAAAATAACCTCCAAAGGGTTAAGATGCTTTATTCCTGTCTAAAGTGCTACAGAACTAGGCTTTTTTTTTTTAAAAGGCTCTTGTATTTATCAGAATGTACATATTAAAAACACACTCCAGTATGTATCCTAGAATCAAAGTTTTCTTGTTTTTTGGGAGAGTGGGCGGGAGGGAAGTAGTTTTAAGGCTCAACAATTCAAAGTGCAACTCTTTAACCACAGCCTATGTATATTTTATGTAATTATAAATGCTCCAGATTAATGCCCCTCAAATATTTTTTGTACCTTCAGAAAGTTATAAAGGGCTATCTGCTTTCAAATAAAAAACAGGGTCCTTATTTCATGTTTACCCAGACTTTTCTGAATCAGATAAACGTCAGAAAACTTGAAAATTAGGACTCAGCTTTTCATAGTTACCACACATAAGAGTCATTCAGTATTTATCTACCATGTAGGATAATAATTAAAAACCCCAGAGCAACGCTGTTGTCGTCATGTGCCTCCATCCTGGAGTCTTATCAGGATCTTCTGAAATTCTGGAGAGTTGCTCGGGGCTTGAATCTGAGTTCACATACAATCAACCACATTGTTGGATCCCTGACCAACATCACGGATCTGACTACTAAGACAAGAGCACACAGCTACACCTGCTCCAGCTCTGCAGTGAGAAACAGATCCAACAAGCTCCCACCTAGAGAAAATGGTGAAGCAAGAAAGACAAGGGGAGGTGTTAGTTTTTTTCCCTTGAAAAGTTCTCTACCCCCAATATCTTAATTAAAGTTGGTACATTCTCTCTAGGAGAAATGAGGCCTCCATTGTATTAATTTAAGGGGAACATTAGTTTGAATGTTTTACCACTTAATTTAAAACAAATCTACATTTACTCATAACTTTGAAGAATTGCATCCACCTTACTCTTGAAATGTTGTACTTATAAATTATTTTCCTCTTTTCTGCACCCAACTACATTTTGAGGCCAGAGAGAGTTAGGTGTAATTTCCTTACCAGCTAGCTCCTTATTGAAAATAAAGTCTCTCAGGCATGGAGAAGTAATGAAACTAGGCTAATAAATTCATTGGATTAATCCAATTTTGCCTTACACTAATCTTATTTATCATACTCTGACGAGAGAAGCTTCCTATGCCTCAGTGAGGAGATGGGAGGTATGAACTTGTAAGTGAGAAAAAAAGCCAAAGGTATAGAGGGAGCACATTAATAAGTGTATTCATCTGCATATCAAGAAAAATTAAGTATTTATTCTTAAATACATATTAATTTTACCCCCAAAAAACAAGAGCAGTTTAGTGCCCTTTCTACTTATTCAAGGTGATAAACAGATGGGATTCTTTATATGGAAGACAGCAGCCTCCATGAAGATCGGAGCCATCCATGGCCATAAATTTTCATAAAACCATGTCAAACTTTTTTGAAGTAATAGTTTTGTCTAACATGATCACTAAGGTCATAGGTCAAATCAGAGACTAATGAAAGGCTGCACAAGAGTTACCTTTTCAATGACATATGGCTTAAGCCACAACTGCTAACACGATGAGAGAGACTGAAGGCTGGGCCTAAAGTGCCAATTTGTGGTGTTTGAGATCAGTCTCCTTTCTAGTAGAGACTAATGTGAAATCACTAAATACATTATAATTAGAACCTCAATCCTAGATTTGAACTACGTTCCTAGAGGAAACTGAATTCTTTATATCCATTAATGTAACTAGATTATTTGTTGTTGGATGTATGCACTTAGTCCATACAAGACAGCACTTTTAAAAATACACTTTCAGGTAATTCGACAAGTCTAGGATTTGCATTAAATATCCCTCAGCTGTCACTGAGTAAAATTGCTCAGTTACCTGTTGAGGATAATCACGTGCTCAGTCATGATAGCTTATTTTACAAGATATTAAAAACCTGCATTATTTCTTGCTACCCACTATCTGGAGTAGCATACTGAGATAAAGGAGAAAAATTATTCAAATAACTTTCCTAGTTTAAGGGCCACAGTGATTCTACACTGTATACATGAAGCCATCATCACCTGTCTTCATCTAACTCAGAATTACCTGTTCATCTCTGGATCAAAGGCTTCCACTGTGTTCAGGTATGCATTGCCATTATGACCACCAACTGCAAAAATTTTACCCATTAGTGTTGCTATGCCAACTCCACCCCTGGGGGTTGTAAGTTCTGCTACATACTCCCATTTGTTACTGCGAGGATCAAACCTTTCAACAGAGCTCAATGGAGAGTTGTCATCAAAGCCACCTACAAAGAAAGACATTACATTACTGTTTGTTAGGAGGGAGATTTTAGTAATGCTGGAGTCCAGTATTCAGACTGCATAATATTCAACTGGTTGGCTGTACAATGGCCACATTTTTCAAACATGGGTGCCTGAAGTTAAGTACCTAAAATCAATATTTAGGTAGCAGTGTGTGCCTTAAGTTTTCAGAGGTGTAAAAGTTAAAGGAAGTGGCAGGTGCTCACCACCTCTGAATAGACAGACTGCTTGCGGTGCTTTAATTTTAGGCCCTTACATTTGAAAACTTTGGCCACTGTGGCACAGTGATCATAAGACCACCTCTTGCTGTTTGTTTTTAACTCTTCTCCCCAAAGATTGTTGAGAGTCCTTGTGCTTGTTTCCTCAGCACATGCATATAGTAATTCTCAGAATAAAATGGGGCTAAACTTACTCTTGATGAGAATATTTCCTATTCTATAAAGGATACCAATATGTACAATGAAAATGAGCAAGCAGTGAACAAGTACATTGGCTTTTCTAGAGACAAAGGAAGAAAAGAGTGCATGTAAGTACTTAATAACCAAATGGAAATCATCAGGAGTTAAATATCAATATGCAATGAAACTAAACTATAAGGGACTCCCAACAGGACCTGCTGTAATTACCCAGAGATTCTCTTAAAGGATTCATTAAGGCCAGAGACTCATCTCTATGCACTACAACTTTCACCATGTTATTTCGGTTAATCCATACCATAAAGACTTACTGAACCTTCTGGACGTTTTGGTTTCTTCAACTGTAGATTTACATGCATACAGGCTTGTAGTCATGCGTGTCCTTTCTACTTAAGGAATGTTCTGGCTGTCTCTCTTTTGCAGACTACTCAAGCTAGTCAACATTTCATAACATGCCAGAAAATAAATGTCAGTAAGTGCTGCAATCTGCTTTAGATCCAAGCATACTGTCAACTAACTAAAAGCACTCATGAAGTTGTACCCCATATGCAGCTCTGAACATCAGTGCTGAACTACTCTGCTGTGTTTCTTCCACAGTTGTATTGCTTCTGTAAGTGCCACTTCAACTCTAAAACTACACCACATACCCTTTTCTACCACTTCCTACCTCACTTCTAAATAGTAAACACTACAAAGGTATGGTTTTCAAAAAAAAAAAAAAAAGTGGGGGTTAGGGGAAAGGGATTCTGTGTTTTAAAGAGAAGGCGATATTAAGAATCTGTTAGCAAGGTCATTTTTTAAAATCTCACTGACAAAGTTAGATTAAAACTCGGGCCAGTTAAGATTATGTAAAATTTCATTTAGTTGGTGATCTTGTGATTCATATTGCAATTCTATGGTATGTATGCACAATTAAACAAACAAATTAGGTATAGTTTAGTTTGGAAAACAGAACTCAATGTGAAGCAGTAAAGAAAAGTTTTTAAAAGTCTATAAATCTGAAGAAACTATTGAACTCAGGCACACAGTGAACAAATGAAAAGGTGTGAGATACATGTACATGTCTCAGGGTCTATTTTTAAAGGGGAAATTATACTATGATGTACTTCTATATTTTCTAAACAGTAGGGGTAAAAATCACTGTGCAATGAATCTGGTATTAATTAAGATCACACTAGTGTCTTACATGAAAGCTTCACTTTTAAATTTCAAAAAAACCAAGTGAGCACATGTTCTGTAACTGTCCATGGTATATTGTGAAATGCACAGCTAATTGCACCACTCATCTCTACCACTGGGAAGCATTGACTAGCTTTAATGAATTGTCAAGGGGCTCAGAGCAAACACTGTGTCTGAACTGAAAAAATTAAGTAGGGGTTAATTTTTAGATTTGTTTAATGTTCAAAGGCCACCTAGTCTCAGACTCCAGCTGCCCCAGATCCAACTAAATAAATCACAAATACCTTAAGTGTAGTAGAATAAATTAAACCCCCATGGAACTTATTCATATCGCAGTTCTCCATCCTGACACTTTCCCCCTCCCCTGCCTATTTATAAATACTGGTGGGGGATGGGGAGGAATAAGTATTACAGTATGCTCTGAATGACAGATTCAGACTTTCACCCCAAAGCTGCCAGCCCTTAAAGCGAGTATCTTGTCAGCAGCCAAAAGAATCTTCTCCTTTATAGCAATAGCATTCCAGACTGTGCTGACCTGATTTTAAGGCAAGGGATAAGAGAGAGCCAGAATTAGGACAGAGCAGGTCATTTTTTTGGTTTACCGAGATGCATGAGTATTTTTTTTTTTAATTCTCCTGGAAGGCGCTTAAAAGTTTATAAAGTACTTAGATTTTTAACTTTCTATACATTATAACAGCATTTTTTATGTTGAAACAGCTTCATTCTCAGTCACAATCCACATTTTTATAGGACAAAGTGTCTCTTCTATCAATTAGGAAGAAACACTCCTACTTACCTACAACGTATAAGCAACCATGGAGTTCACTAACCCCATTGCCAGCTCTTCGTTGACCCATCTCTTTCACTTCTATCCACTTATCCAGATGGGGGTTATATCTCTCTACGCTGGAGAGAGAAGCTACACCATCATTGCCACCAACAGCATACACATAGTTCTGAAAGAAGATTGAGCAGAGACGTTTCATGCATAGAACTAGCCTTTCCTATGAAAAGTCAATAGTACTTTTGTAGTAAAATTCAACATCACACTGCATCACCCAGTTCCTTTTCAGAGATTTTTTTTTTTTTTAAATGAGCAGTGATTGTTTAGGAATATGCACTGATCCTGGAATGGCTGTCAATCCCAAGGATCACATATTTGTACCGTGCAGAATGCTTGTACTACAATCATGACCAAGAAGTTAAAAATACAGCCAAGTAAATTTATTTCACAATTTACCTCTCCACAATTTTTCTGTACACAACCCCCTGAAAGACATTTGTTTTTCCATGGGCAAACACAGTGACTGATTTGTGCTAGCACTGTTTTTAAAAAAAGAAAAAAGAGGGAATATCTGAAATAATACATGGACTTTGAAAACAGTAGAAAAAAGAAAGTTACATTTTAGCACTACTACCAAGTGTCACATTGTATCATTCATTTAATGTTACATTTTGCCTACCTAAATCCATCTGCTGTCTTAATTAGAAATAGTATTTATTTCCTGTCTTCAGCTGTTATGTAATGTTAATAAAGATGCCATATTGCAGGCTAAATTTCACCGGTGAGTGAAATTATTTGTGTTTATATACGTATGAAGTGCTCTGGAACTGTTACAAAATTGTAGTGGACCTGCTTTTTCCAATGCTTTGCACCTTGCGTAGTCATTTATGTTGGTGCAAAATGCTACCTGCAGCTGAGTGAATGAAGAAATCCTATTTGGTAGACTATTCCATCCATTACGCAACAAAGGTGGAAGTCAGTGGTGCATCAGGCACAGTATGTTTAACACAGCAGCTATGATAAATCTGACGCTTAAAATGATATCCATAACCTTCTCTCTTTTACATAATATGTCACGTTTTGGCCATAATTGAAGAGTTGTTTTGGGAGTGCCAACCTACTGATCACAGGATCACTACAGTACTTTGAATGTTATGACAATGTAAATCCATACACTGGAGTTTGGCTGGAACACTGATGTTAACACCCTGAACTTTTTCAGAAACTGCACAGTATTTCTAAGGTTATAAGTGGTCAGTGCCTCAGTTTTAAGTCTTCTTTGAAAGACTCCCCTTCATTAGACCAGTGCCTCCTCATACCAAGCCAAGGCATTGTTTCAATACTGACTCAGAAGGAAGCATTAACTTACCACAAGGGCCACTGAGCCAACTCCTCCTCTGGGCGTATTCATTGACGCTACTCCACTCCATCGATCAGATTCAATGTCATATCTCTCCACATCACTGAAGCAAGTGTTGTCATCTAACCCTCCTATGGCATAAATGGGTCCACCAAGGGAGGCTAGAGCAATTCCTCTCCTAATAAAATCATATCATCAACACTTGAGTATATCCTTGAAGGTACTAGGCAAAGCCAGTTAGACCAAGTGCAATTTTCTCTGACTGGCAACTGTTTCAAAATACAGGAAATAAAGTAAAAAGAAAAGGAGCACTTTGTGTTGCCTTAGAGGCTAACATTTATTTGAGCATAAGCTTTCGTGAGCTACAGCTCACTTCATCGGATGCATACTGTGGATGAAGTGAGCTGTAGCTCACGAAAGCTTATGCTCAAATAAATTGGTTAGTCTCTAAGGTGCCACAGGTACTCCTTTTCGTTTTGCGAATACAGACTAACATGGCTGCTACTCTGAAAAAGGAAATAAAGTGTAATGCAAACCAAAAGGGAAATGAAGGAACTTAAAAATTTCTTTGATCAATAACTGTAGCAAGTTGACTGTTGGTGCAGTAGCAGCTTCATAAAGTAGACTACTTCATTTTCAGAGGGTGTACCTACCCTAAGGCGCCAAACCTGCCTCAGGATCCCCTAGAACAAAGCCCTGCCCTCATCCAGAGTCCCACTAGAAGTAAGTTAGTGTTGTCTTAACTTGAAAAGCTAGCTGGTCTTAATTTATGGCAGGCAGCTACCCTTTCAGCTACAATCTAATCACACAATCCAAAAACCAATGTTGGAACAAGGTACTATTTAGGATTTAATCCACTGCAGTGTAAAACAAATGTTTAAAAAAAAGCAATAGGATTCTAGGAACAGAAGAGTTGGTGCTAGCAGTTAGTTAGCATGTAACTGCATGAATCATGTGTTAGCTGTTGCTATGGTGTAGCTGTAGAGTGTTTCAGCACTATTCCTCACTCTTTTTCAGTTTCTTTCTTATGCAGTAGATCAAATCCAGAAGTTTAGTTCTTTAGTTAAAGTTTCCTTCTTGGCTTTTGAATCATGACTAGTCTGAAAGCTACATTGTTGCATGTAGAACAGTTACCTATGAAAGCTAAATGATCTATTTAAAACAGGGGCAGGCAAACTTTTTGGCCTGAGGGCCGCATCAGGTTTTGGAAATTATAGGGAGGGACAGTTAGGGGAGGCTGTGCCTCCCCAAACAGCCAGGTGTGGCCCAGCCCCTGCCCCCTATCCGACCTTCCACACTGCTGTGCCCTCCCCCCCCCCCCGGGACTCCTGCCCCCTCCAATCCCCCCTGTTCCCTGACGGCCCCTCCGGGACTCCCACCCCTGACTGCCCCCTGCTACCCCATCCAACCCCTCCTCTCCTTCGTGACTGCCCCCATTCCCTGCCCTCTGACTGCAGGGAACTGACAGCACCTCAAGACGGAAGAAAAATTATTTTTCCCCCACAAAAGAAGGTCCTGCAATCTTGCAACTGCTTCTTCAGGTTACACCACAGAGGCTACGACACAGTACAATAACCACTCCTCTTACTACGGTGCTTCACAGGAAGTGCCACAAAAGCTTGAAGGGCTCATCTGAGCCCTAACAGTATCAGAGAAGCAAGCTGATGACCCAGATTCTTGGTTCTTTCAAAGTGGCTTTGTGCTTTCCTGTTTAAGTCACAGTAGCCGAATGTTTCAGGACTCAGACATGCCCCAGTACTTCACTCTACCCATTAAGTGTAAGCTTCTGATAGAAGACTTAAATTTTTTTTTAGAAAAATATTTTCCTTAGACTTCAAGTTATGGAGGTTTAAAGTAAAAGTAAGGGTGGCGGTTTTTAATAGAGATTCAGTAAGAAGAAAAACAGAAACCTCAGTTAAAGCAGTTTAAAAAATTCTCACCAAAATAAGTGTAAAATAGCAGTTTTATATCTAATTAAGCTTGTGGCTTCTGCATGTCTCTCTCAAAAAGCAATCTGCACTCTTAGTCATTAGATTCCTACACCAGAACATTTAGTTATTTTTATCCACAGTTAACTCAGAAAACCAAAAGTATGCTGAGGAAGTGAAAGGAAGCTAGTCACAACTAGCAGGGGGAAGTTATCTGAAAAAAAAAAAATACTAAATATTTTATCTTTATATGCAGTTTATTTCCAAACTGCTTTTTGGGTACTATGTCTGATAATATATCCTTTGATCCAATGTTACAACTACTAAGTAATTAAGAAAATCCAATCTGCTTTTTATTAAGTTTACAAACAATACAGTAGCTGGAGGCTGATGTAAAGGAACATTATACATTTTACATCACCAGTAATGCTCTAATGTGCATATGAGATTCATTTCATTACACACTGAGGCAGACTTTATTTTTGCCTGTCTGCTCTTTAAAGTGTTACACTAGTCCAGTAGGAATATATAAATAAGTGTCATTTAAATTAATGATTTTGGGGGCGGGAATAGCATTATGAATACTCCACAACACAACCCTGCACTGAAATCTTGGTATACTGTTATACAGGACATAAACAATACAGAATGTACCTGCAAGTAGTGAGCAAAGTATCTTTTTCTGTAGCTGGCGAAGGATTAAGATTGGCAATAATTTCAAAACAAGATTTTTGTCAATTTCAAACCCCCGCCCAAGCAAAAGAAAATAGGCAGCAGCTGACTGCAAGAGCAACCAGCTTGCATTCGTAAACCCAGAACGACCAAAAACCGAAGAATGGTCTGTTGAAACCCTAAGAATTTTTTTTTAAAAATGGTATGCAGAAAGGGGTGGATCAAAAACTAGACTGCAATAACTTCTGGATTATTTTCTAAAAGAATTACTTGCTCCTTTTTTGTTTAAGGGAGATTTACCTCTTGGTGTTCATTGATGCTTTCATCATCCACTTATTAGCGACAGGATCAAACATTTCCATGCTGCCTAAATGTTCATTTCCATCATGCCCACCTACTGCATAGACTTTACCTGAAGAACAGAGAAGCATTTTGATTTAATGGGTGGTTGGAAACCCAAGTGTTCCCTGACACACAAGATCACCACAAACAGTGGGAAATATACAGGCACAAGTTATTTCCAAAGTAGCAGCACGCTTTTCAGTTGCAAGAATAAGATTTGAAGGTTAAGAATCTGTAGTATAAGAATATACACAGTCTTTAAAACAGAGATTTGCATTAACAGCTGTTTTTATAGGACATATTAACATCTTAATCTGAGATCTTCCCTTTTCATATTAAAAACAACATGCCACAGGCTGGCTGAATTTTTCAGCCTCTAAACAAAATACCAAATTCTTTTAAACAAAGTAGTTTAATATTTGGAGGCACAAAGGAACGTATGCTATCTGAAAAGCTGTTTTCCACTGGTTCTGTTGCAGGAACGTAACATATTGGGGAAGAGCAACTCAACTGTTGTGGCTTCTTGGCTCTAAGTATCAAGTTGAGCACTCAAAAATTGAGTTACCAAAATTAATGGCAGTCTTGGAAAATTATGGGCTACATGATTTGCCCAAATGAAAGGAAGTCAGTTTCAGAACTCAGAAAAACTGGCTTACAGTTATGTGCTCACACTATTCCTCTCTGAGGAAAAAAGAAAAATGAAACTATACATGACTGTAAGTAATGAGCCACAGGCTGTGGACAGTGAGCAGTAGTCTCACTAGAACAAATGTGTTCTCAGATTGGTGTTTTAACAACACAGGAATGTTTTCAGACCTGAAAAATAGCTCTTTAGTAAGCAAACACGTCAAGTAATTTAGCTATGATATGGGACAGGCTTTTCTTATTGTTAGTATGAACAATTAAGTTACTGCAGAAGAAAAAAAAATATTCGTACAAGGTTATGTTGTTACTAACCTCCCACAGAGATTACACCCACATGTCTTCTCCTGCTGTTCATTTCAGGACCAAAGAACCAGTTGTTTTTGTTTATAGAGTAGCATTCAATGCTGCGAAATGGGTCACCTGATCCACCGCGACCACCAACACAAAATAGTACACCTGAAGGAGAAGATATAAAGAGTAAATACTGGCCTCTGCATGATTAGCCAACAAAACATGGGCAATATTTTTACTGAGAATGGATTAGCATACAAAATTAACTGAAGACAAGCACTTTTTTCTCCTCCCTCTTGGGTCACATTCAATCATAGAATATCAGGGTTGGAAGGGACCTCAGGAGGTCATCTAGTCCAACCCCCTGCTCAAAAGCAGGACCCATACCCAATTAAATACAGCTACACTTCTTCATTTGTGGCAATTACCTGACCTTTCAGCTGGCAAGAACCATGCATTTTAACATGCAAAATGACTGTCAACATTATTGCAGAGACTGCTAATCAGACTCCAAAAACATAATGGGATTTTAGTCACTTTAGTTATTTGACTGGGGAGATAGCCATATTTCTTCTATTACATCTAATTGGATTTCTAGATCAGAATTTGCGGTCTAATCTGCATAACTCAGAGCACTTTGTAAAAGGCAACTTATTGCTTTGTGGTCAATTAACTGTTCAAAAGGAGCAATATGTTTTTCTCCCCAGGAAGTAAACTTTGTAGGGCTTGAGTATCTTTGGTTTCCTGTACAGTTCCTAGCACATTAATATGCTTTCTGCAAGCCTTGCCTAGAATATTTACATTTGATCTAGTTAAACTAGTATTTTAAGCTAATTTAATTAAACTGGTGCTAAAAGCTATGCACTGCACCTACTCACTTCTTCTTGAAACATTAATTAGATCATAAACAATTTACTCTGCACTACCTATCCCTACGCAGATTCCCCTACACTCTTCCTCAGAACGGGAACATCAGATCCCCATTTAATTACCAGCAGTCTCATTCCTTGGTGTTGTGCGGATGGAATACTCGAAGTCTGGCACTGCCCTGCTGCTCAGGTGAAGGTGGTAGTTTCTTGCTTCATCCAGTAAATCTCTACATTTTAGATTCTGCTTGATGATCTCTTCTTTTGCCACAACGCCCATAAGGAAACAAATAGGCAACAAAGGCAGGCGTACCTGATGGAAATATACACAGTTCAGCTACTCTGGATCAGGGCTCAACATCAATGACTAATACACCAGTCAGGAGTATAAATGTGTAACTTTTAAGTTAAAAACACACCCTTCAGTGAAAGGAGTAATACAAGTCCATTAATATATAACTTTATTCTTTCTGGGGAGAACAAAGGAACACTTCTTTCAGACCTTGTTTACAGCTTCAGTGTACATGTAGCTACGTGCAGCAGTGAAAAGCAGGCTGTGTCCACACTCATGGTCTGTAGTTATGCAAAGCAGGTGAAGCTGCTGGAGCCTTTCCCCGCTGCAATGAAAGGATATATCTACACTGCAAAAAGACCTGCAACAGCAAGTCTCAGAGCTTGGGTCAATTGACTTGGGCTCATTGGGCTTGTGCTACAGGGCTAAAAATAGGAGTATAAACATTTGGGTTCAGGATGGAGCCTGGACTCTGAAATCCATTGAGGGAGGAGGATCTCAGATCCCAGGCTCCAGCCTGAGCTCAACTGTCTACAGTGCTATTTTTAGCCCCACTTCCTGAGCCTGAGTCAGTTGACCTAGGCTCAGACTTGCTGCTGCAGGGTTTTATTTTTTGCAGTGTAGACATACCCAAAGACTCCAGCAGCACAGAAAGGCCCTAGAAGGGGAGAGGCAGCAGGATACTACACTGCTAAAAATAGCAGTGTACATATGAGAGGTTCTGCTTGGGCATGTAGAGAGCCCTGTAGGGTATATACCCCAGGTTCAGGTGTGAAAGGCACTCTACGCTATTCACATAAGCTGTGCCTCAGAGTTTATTATTTATACACATGCTAGCTGGGCATGCAACGTCTCCACTCTGTGCTGCTCCAAGTGTAGATGTACCCTCACTTGATTAAATTCTTTATATAAAAAAGTCATTTGCTTCTAGGCAGGGCTTAAAAAAAAATCCACACGCTCGCTCCAGCGTGAATGGGCTAAGTGGCATCTTAACTGCTTGCAATATAATAGTTAAAAGGAGTACTTGTGGCACCTTAGAGACTAACCAATTTATTTGAGCATGAGCTTTCGTGAACTACAGCTCACTTCATCGGATGCATACCGTGGAAACTGCAGCAGACATTATATACACAGAGACCATGAAACAATACCTCCTCCCACCCCACTGTCCTACTGGTAATAGCTTATCTAAAGTGATCATCAAGTTGGGCCGTTTCCAGCACAAATCCAGGTTTTCTCACCCTCCACCCCCCCCCGCTCCCCCCACAAACTCACTCTCCTGCTGGTAATAGCCCATCCAAAGTGACAACTCTCTTCACAATGTGCATGATAATCAAGGTGGGCCATTTCCTGCACAAATCCAGGTTCTCTCACCCTCTCATCCCCCTCCAAAAACCACACACACAAACTCACTCTCCTGCTGGAAATGGCCCAACTTGATGATCACTTTAGATAAGCTATTACCAGCAGGACAGTGGGGTGGGAGGAGGTATTGTTTCATGATCTCTGTGTGTATATAATGTCTGCTGCAGTTTCCACGGTATGCATCCGATGAAGTGAGCTGTAGCTCACGAAAGCTCATGCTCAAATAAATTGGTTAGTCGCTGAGGTGCCACAAGTCCTCCTTTTCTTTTTGCGAATACAGACTAACACGGCTGCTACTTTGAAACCTGTCAATATAATAGTTGTTACACCAGGTAGTGCCTCAAGTACTGCTGCATACTTTCCTTCTTTCTCCAGGTGAATGAGGCCATGTCTATACCTTTGCTGATATACCAATGTAAAAGAAGGATATGGTGTTTTTACAACACTTCTAAGCCATCAAAAGCCCTAAATGTTGACATTTATACCATTGTAAGAGTGCTTTTGCTAGTATAGCTTACTTCATTTGGGGAACCACTATAAGATATGGCACTTTTTTACTGGTATAAATTGGTCTATACTAGGAGAATTTGCTAGCAATACTAGCAAGCCTTTTCTAGTGTACATCTCGCCTCACCGTATAGGTTAAAGGACGTTGAGAGCTAAATGGCAGAGACGCCAGAGGCAGTACAGAGCAGACAAGGCAGCAGAAAGGACTAGAAATATAGCAGTACACAGACTAGCCAAAACATGGACCAAATCTTTGGTTCCAGATTAGCAGGGGACATCCAAGACTATTAGCCTAACTAGCAGAAGAGGCTGGACTGTGGAGATGAGGGGTAGTATAAATGCACTGCGGTGGAAGGTTGACAGATTTGAATTTGGGCACCCTGGTGACACTTAATTCGGCAAACGGATTTCTGTTTTCTGACTAGGTGTAGGTAGGTTTTTTCAAGTCTTGTCTCCAAATGCAGGAAGCATACAATGTTTTAATATAACTTCTGAAAGTCTCAGCTTTGTGTCAGGACAAATACTTATCACCAACGAAATCATCCCCTCTCCCACTCCCCATCCCCGAATTTACTATAGTCAAATAGAGAACATACTTAATGCATTTGGCAATCTATACATTTTTAAATGTTTCGCTTCCAGAACAGATACTGTTTTCTGTTGTTTCTAATTAGCATGAAGTTCAAACACTGCCGTAAAAATTTTCCTTTCAGAAACTGATCAAGAATGTGATTTTCTTTTCTGATATCCAAGCATAGATCAGAATTGGTTCTATTCTAAGCAGAAGACAACATAAATCTGTGACAGACTGTTGTACCAGGGGAAAATGTCTTGCTTAGTAAAGGCTGAATATTAAATTGAAGATTATTCAACACAAAACTAAATCAATTATGAGTTTTGACAGGGAAAGAAATACTTTGCATCTTTTGTTTGTCTTTGTTTGTCTTGCTCTTTTTTCTACTATATAGATTTTCTACTGGTAAACAAAAAAGATGGCTTCATCTCTGCATGGTACAGGAAAATATGCTCCAATCTATGCATACACCCCAACCGTTTCCCTACCTGAGCAAGTATTTCATCCAACCATGAAGTATGATGCTGTGGATTAGCAAGAAGCCACTTGATAGCAGCACTATAAACCTGCTTCTCATTCTCTATGTTCAGATCACTGGAAGACAAGAGTTTATGGAGGTGCTGAGGTGACATACTCACAAAGTCCTCACATTCCACCACTTCAGTAAAGTGTTCACAAGCATATCGGTCAGCCATGTCCATCAAGTCAATACGGTTGTGACTTTCTGCAAAGGCCCTCACTGCCAGGCAGTTTGAGGGATGAAAGTGTAGTTTCATATATTCACAGCAAGCTTTTGCTACTAGCTCCACCTGAAGAATGCAGGCTGCATATAAGAGAGGCTGGACATTATCGACAGTCAATGTAAGTCGGGAGGAATAGACAAACTTCACCAAATCTTCTATTGCATCTCCATCGAAGTCCCTGATCTCAATCAATGTCTGTTTTGCCTCAGCCATTTCAGAAAGAAACATAGCTCTGAAGTAAGGGATAACACAAGCCAGAACCAACTTGTGGCAGGAGATTAGCTTTGAACCAACCTGTCAGGGAAAGAAAAAAGACTTTAAATGGAAACTTGGGGGGGGGGGGGGTTGGCTTTAAAGAAAAGAAATTATACAAATTATAGCTGAGATTGGAATCCTGGACTGTCATGTAATGTTGTGGTGCATACTTGGTAAAAAACTGAATTCCTCTAGTTGCTTATTTTTGTCATTTAACCAGCTGCATAAAAAAACAAAAGGACAGATTTCAGTTTAGACATCTGACCTTTTAACTCACAAGAGCAGGACAAGGCAACAGCCAATCCCTAGTTCAAGTCCCCAGTAACATTTATTATTCCTCTTATATAAACCTCCCTCCACACAGGATCTTTTAAAAAGATAAAGCAGAACTGGAATTTCCTTAAGAAACACAATTCAAATAGAAGCCTGGGGATTAAAGAGGAGATCACTGGTTTATCTTAGCTTACACACAAATTTAAAGCGCATATGAAATAAACAGTCTTTGCTAGTATGGGTCAGTGGCAGCCACACTAAGGAAAACTAGATATACAGACTGTAGGCTGGCAATGGTAGTAACTTTCTTGTCCCTCTCCCATGGGATACTACAAGATTGAGGAAAGAGGCAGGTATCAACTCTTCTCCAGAAGCAGGTGTGTGATGGGGGTATAGGGAAGCGGAGCATAGATTACTTCCTCCTCCCAAAAATATCAGGGGGCAGATCCTTCACTGGTGCAAATTGTCATAGCTCCTCTAACTTCAATGGAAATATGACAGTTTACATCAGTGGAAGATCCGTCCCCAGGAATGGAAGGGCCTGTCCCCTCCAGGCCTCTGCTGCCTCTTCATGCCAACCTCAGACACAGCAGGAGCCTTCTTCCTGACAAACCTCCATCCACAGCCATGTTTGAATCTGCTGCATAAGGCTGACCTTTTTTGCTGACAGCTGAATTTGCAATTAAGCTCAAGTAAATGGAATATTAGATCAGCAGTTCTCCACCAGGGGTCTGGGGGCCACAAGCAGGGCCAATATTAGACTTGCTGGGGCCCAGGGCAGAAAGCCAAAGCCATGCTGTGCAGGGCTGAAGCCCGGGGCCCTGAGCTCTGCCATCTGTGGCTGCAGCTGAAGACTGACAAACCTAGCTTTGTGGGGCCCCTTGTGGCATGGGTCCTCAGGCAACTGCCCTGCTTGCTGCCTTCTAATGCTGGTCCTGGCTTTTATTTGCAGAAAAATAGCTCGTGGAGCACTGGTGGGCTGTGGAGTTTTTATAGCATGTGGGGGGTGGAGGGCTCAGAAAGAAAAAGGTTGCGAACTCCTATATTAGATGACAATAGAAATTTTATTCTATATTCTGTTTCTGCAGTTTGGGGCTGAGTAATGTTCCACATGTTTTGAAAGGAGGATTTATTTTTGAACAGGAAGTGGTCCATCATCAACACAAACCCTAGGGGAGCCACAATGTATAAAAATTACACTGACAGCATAACAAACTCTACTGTTCTATTGTACAGCCAAGTCAAAAACTAAAAAGTTGTTTACCAAGATAGGAGGAGAAAAATCTGCTCTGTTTTTTCTGTAGGGAGAAGGGAGGTGATACTGTGCTCAGTGTCCTCAGGCACTGGCAAGCACAAACAGTTCTATATAAGAGTTAAATATATGAAACAAGCAAAGTAAGTATTTGAGCAATTCTGACGTGCAGAGCTACAATTCCATTCAAGGAGTCCCAGTTACACCACAGATGAAGAAAGAAAAGGTAAAGTAGTTTATAAAGCTACCACAGTCTCAAAATAGTATAGCTCAAATTCCTTAAATATTTGTTTTTCCATGTTATAGGCATAGTATCTTCCTGTTAAGCCACCACTAGAATGGCTCATTTTTAAAAGAAGTTTCTCCATGTTTGGAAAACCAAAACCTTCGTTTCAACACAAGCATTTGGTTCATTGAGACATCACATGTGCAAATTAAAGAAAACTTAAGATATGGTATTTAACTGTTACACTGCAGCACTGTAAATTGGTGTTCTGTTCGTTTTCTTGAATGAAGGTTCTTCATCCTTTCAAATCAATGAACTGGGGTGAAAAAAAGAGTGTGCTGTACTGTTTCCCCTCTTATAACTCAAGCCATAATGTACATTTCATTCTACAGATGGGTTTTTAAATTGTTCATTTCCCTTATAGCACATTTTAGCCAATCTATGCCCCGTATGTGGAGTACCACTAATACTACATTTGAGAGCTACACCAGCCTTTCACAGATGTCAGATGTGATTTACCAAAAATAACCATCTTCTAGTCAGTGTTCATGGTTCAGCCTCTCAACTGACATCCCTCCTTTCTTAAACACATTGATTTCCTTATTTTTACACTATATTTAGTAATCAGAAAAGCCAATTTAAAACTAATTTCCACAAAATCATTCAGTCTTTAAAGTATTACTCTTCAGTTCAGCACTGATCATTGTTTAGCTGATTTCCTTCTCAGAACTGTATTAAATTATTAATTCTAGACCCAACATTTGTGTTCAGTACCACATCCTGGCACAAAAACAGGCCAAGTCTAAAGCTTATACTTTATTACTGGCAAGGATATGTTCTTTTGTCACAGAACGCTGCATATTCAATATTTTAAAAGACTACCAATACACTTGAAGCATCCTGTAGGAAATACAGCTTGTGATTTATGCTACCTCATGTCAGATCAATGACAACATTAAATTATTACATAAATTCACTGAAAATATGCCAGGAAAATATGAAGCTGTTATTACATCAATATCCATAAAATACGCTCTATTTGGATTTATAGAATGCATTCAAACATTCATGGAGTATTTGCATGTTTTTAAAAAACACAACATGCTGATTCTACATTTCTAAAAAGGCACGCCTTATACATAGTTTTTGTATATTTTCTCTTGTGTATCAGCCAACTAATGCCCACTTTGTTGTAAATTATTGTAGATTTCATATATTTTGCTTTAATTGAAAGCAAATTTACAGAAGTTTCTACAAATGACTTTCACAAATACAGTGGCCATTTAAAATGGCAAAATGCCTCTGGTATAAAGCACTTTTGAACTAATATAGAAACTTACAAAAAATCTCTGGGGGGTTCTGGGGGGCTGGAATGGGGGCGGGGCCAGGCCACGCCTTGCTGTTTGGGGAGGCATAGCCTCCCCCAGCCTTCCCTACCTGGCCCTCCATACAATTTCTGTACCCAGTGTGGCCCTAGGACCAAAAAGTTTGCCCACCCAGATCTAATGTAACCAAAAAGGTTTACTAGAAGAAATATAAGGTGGACGACATTACATAAGAGTGGCCATACCGAGTCAGATCAAAGGTCCATCTAGCCTAGTATCCTATCAGTGGTCAATGCCAGGTGCTGCAGAGGGAACAAACAGAACTGGTGATCATCAAGTGATCCATCCCATTGCCCATTCTTTGCATCTGGCAAACAGAGGTTAGGGACACCATTCCTGCCCATCCTGGTTAATAACCATTGATGGACCTATCCTCCGTGAATTTATCTAGTTCTTTTTTGAACCCTGTTATAGTCTTGGCCTTCACAACATCCTATGGCAAAGAGTTCCACAGGCTGACTGTGCGTTGTGTGAAGAAATACTGTCTTTTGTTTGCTTTAAACCTGTACCTATTAACGAGGTTTTGGATAATGCCGTGACTGATCAGTGAACGTCTGTGTTCATCTTGAGACAAGTTCTCTGTATTACAATCGTGGGAGCATATTTGTATTATTTTTAATTAATCTACAACAGGGCTGAAGAAAATTAGGACAGCCACAGTTAAAGATTCATGTCAAGCTAGGAGTAGCTGTAAATACTACTGGCTACAACCCCTCCCCACCCGCACCACAAAAAAAAATTTCTACATGTGCTGAGGAAACGGGCTGTTTCCAGCATCACCTATAAACTCAAATATGGAGCTGCCCGGAGGGGTCATGAGGAAAGTTTTGCCTCAATGTTTGAAAAGGCTTAGCAGATGAACAGAACAGGGATATACAGTAGAACCTCAGAACTATGAACACCAGGGTTAAAAAAGAACCAGTCAACTACACACCTCATTTGGAACCAAAAGTATGTAATTAGGAAGCAGCAGAGACCCCCCCAAAAAAGTAAATACAGTACAGTACTGTGATAAACGTAAACTACTAAAAAAAAATAGAGAGAAAGCAGCATATTTTTTCTGCATAGTGCTGTTTCTAAGGTGCCACAAGTCCTCCTTTTCTTTTTGCGAATACAGACTAACACGGCTGTTCCTCTGAAACCTGTATTAAGTCAATGTTCAGCTGTAAACTTTTGAAAGAACCATAAAGTTTTCTTCAGAGTTATGAACATTTCAGAGTTATGAACTACATCTATTCCCGAGGTGTTCGTAAGTCTGAGATTCTACTGTCTACTGCTTTATCTTTATCCACTCCATCTTAACTATTTTTTTAATAGTACATCCTAAGCACCAGATTTTATAGGAAGGGATAGGAAAAGCCCTCAACTACAGAGTTTTACAGCATTATCAATCTATACAGTCTTAGTGGACATCCTCAACACAGATAAATTTTAAGGGAACTGAGTTTCACAACCAGCTAGTCTGGCTATCTCAGCATTTACTCCTGTCTAGTCAGCAAGTACAACCTCTGATGCAGACACAAATACACACATCCAATATGTACTGTTCTGATCCTATAACAAGAGCCACTTTAGAAGTAACAAAGCAGTGAATGTACATCTAGAACAATGAAACTTTATGAAGTCTAGCACATCCTATGGTCATCAGAAGGCTCTGGCAAACCATCAAAACCAGCAGTGGACAAATCCCATCAATTAGTTGTTTACAGAAGTTTTTTCGTCCTCTTCCTTCCCTTCCCCAGTACTGATGACATCTACCCCATCATCACAATTCCTACTAAGCTGGGTGAAGAGCAGCTGGCATCCCACGCCTGAAAACAGGTATGAATTCTGGTGTTAGAGGGAAAACAGTGAATGCTTTTTTTCCCTCCAGCTAGTAGGTGGAGTGTTGGGAGAGGGGCTTCAAATTTATCACAGCCAATAACTAGAGGCTGGTATGAAACATGAAGTCTGCAAGCAAGTTCTTTGTACAGCATCCTTACAGAAATTCTCAAATTTTAATTATGTTTTTACTTTTTAGAAAAATCCTATAGAATACAGATTTATATCCATTCCATAAAATTCTATAGGATGGTTCTTAAAGCCTAGAGAAAGAATTCCATTCTCTATGTTTTTAGAGCAATTTCTACAGAAACCTATTACCTTTAGATTTTCAGAACCCTTCTCTTAACCCTGTTGCCCCCCAAGCTCCTGAGTGTCTCTCTCTCCCCACTTTTTCTTAGCAGCTTTTGGCTCGTAGGTTTAGTCCTCTATTAGGTGTTCAGTAAGTTTCCAAGCTCTACATGTGCATGGATGTGCAAGTGTGTGAAGGTGTGAGGATGGTCAGGAGAGAATGAAGTGTTGTTAGAAATGATATTTAGAGAGATTTTGGTTACAGAAGAAAAGACAGTATTTGAGGGGAAGGAAAAAGGAAATCTATTATACAAAAAAAAAAAAAAAAAAGGCAAAAAAAAAAAAAAGGCAGAGTTAAGCCAGAAGTGAACATACGGATGGCCATACTGGGTCAGATCAATGGTCCATCTAACCCAGTATCCTGTCCTCTGACATTGATTAGTGCCAGATGCTTCAGAGGTAATGAACTGATCAGGGCAATCTACGTAGTGACCCTGACATGCAGTCTCAGCTTCTGGCAGCTGGAAGTTTAGGGACACCTGGAGCTATCGGTTGCTCCTCTGACCATCTTGGCCAATAGCCACTGATGGACCTAACCTCCATGAATTTATTTAATTCTTTTTTTAATCCAGTTATACTTTTGGCCTTCACAATATCCCCTGGCAAAAAGTTCAACAGGTAGACTGTACGTTGTGTGAAGCAGTCCTTCCTTATGTTTATTTTAAACTTGCTGCTTATTAATTTCATCAAGTAATCTCTAGTTTTGCATTATTTGAAGGGGCAAATAATATTTCCCTATTTACTTTCTCCATACCATTCATGGTTTTATAGACGTCTATTATATCCTCCCTTAGTCATCTCTCTTCTAAACTGAACAACTGCAGTCTTTTTAATCTCTCCTCATGTGGAAGCTGTTCCATATCCGTATCATTTTTGTGACCTTCTCTGAAAAAACCTTGACAAGTGATTAAAAAAATCCTCTAACGGTAAGTACATATAACGGAGACAGACAGTGAGTTACATTTTTTTAAACATATTAAATAGAAAGTTGATTGACACAATGTTAAATAAATGCAGTAAACACAGCATCCGACTGTTTTACTCTTTTAGACAACAGAGGAGTGACAGCATAGGTATTTTTTTACCCTGGACAGTTGGGCTACTTGGTGCTGAACTGATTTCAAACCATGGATAAGGATACCTCCTGGGATTTTGTATTAGGGCTGGTCTACATCAGGAACTTACATCGGCATAGCTATGTCTTCAGGGGTGTGAAAAATCAACCCCTTGAGAGTATGTCTCCACTGCAATTAGACACTCATGGCTGGCCAGTGCCCACAGGGCTGTTTAACTGTGCGGTAGATGTTCTAGCTCCAGCTGCAGCCTAAACTCTGGGCTCCTCCCACTTTGCAGGGTCCTAGAGCCTGGACATCTACACTGCACTTAAACAGCCCCACACCCTGAGCCCTGGGAGCGCAAGTCAGCTGGCACAGGCCAGCCACGGGTGTCTAACTACAGTGTAGACATACCCGGAGATACACAGCTATGTCAAACTAACCCCCACTTTAGACAGTGCTAAGTCAATGGTGCCAAGTCCATCAACCTAGCTATTACCTACTGGGGTGATGGATTAACTACAACAATGGGGGGATCCCTCCCCTCGCTGTAATGAGTGTCTAGCTGTTTCCAGAAGTGACCATTTATGATGTCAAGAAATTGCTCCTCTGAACTATGGCCCAGTGTGATATTTGATCAGCTGGTATAGTATTTCATTAGTTGAAATAACGCATTGTTACTGTTTTAGCAGATTTGACATTTGATTTCTCTCAGTATTATGCACTGACTTGAACAGAGGATTCAGGATTTACATATTTACAGATTCTACTGAATGGCCACATCAATTGAAATTGTTTATTTTGTTAGAATCTATAGTACTAAACATAAAAGCCTCTATTCCCTTATTTCTTTGACTTAGTCTGTCACTCCTGGGTTATACATTTATGATCAGTGCAAGAACCATGCACCAGTGAGTCACAGCACAACACAAACTTCAAAAACATCGTAAGTGGTCCTCTGCCCAATGTTGTCCCAGGCCTTCTGCTAAAGAGAAATCGAAGGACATTTTCCTTAAAGGAAAAAGTCTACCTCTGTTCTTGAAATATCTCATTATGGAAGAAACATATGTGGAACTGTAAGATTAAAGTGAGATAATTCTCTCAGAGTATATGTCATTAAAGGGCCATTGACAACTTAAATTTGGAGGAAAAAAGGCTTTTTTCTTCCCTCCAGCTCGTCTTTTGGGCAGGCCTGAAAACAACATTAAATATAATGGCCCAGCCTTTCTTTCCCCTCCATCTCTGCGCACACATCTGCCTAGTGGTGGGTAACTGCAGCTGCAGGTCTTAATTGTAACACCGTCTTACAGGGCCTGAAAAAGCCAGGCCCCTTCACCATTCAGAGGGAAACAGATTATACAGGAAGTGCTACCAAATGCATAAAATAAACAAATTTAAGAGTTTTTTCTTTAATCCTTGGTCAGTTAGTGACCTTAATAGCTACAAAATTGTAACCTTAATAGCTACAAAATTTTCTGACAGAAATGATATTTTTAAGGAGTTTATCTTGGGGCAAAAAAAGCTTCCAAATTCAGTATTTCAGATTTCAATTACTTGTAGTATGATTGTTTTAAATACCTGTTCTAGCAAAGTTGGCTAATTATTTGCATTTCAACAGGCTTAGTCCTTCTTGAATCTGCAGTGAAGCTAGATGGCTCAATTTGTGATATCAAAATCATTTTCATAACAGACCGATATTCAACATGATTATGACTTCACTGCAGATCAGTTAAAGTGAGCTAGCTTGTGATAAAAAAGAAACTCCTACTTAAATGATACAGGCTAATTGTTTGGATTTTTTTTAATTGACTCAATCCACTGCAATAAAATATAATTCAAATCACATTTTTGTAGATGTGTAAGCTATCAAAAAAATTGGATAACAAACATATAATGAGGTAAGCATAAGACATTTAAAATAACATTTACAGTATGCAGATTAAGGGGGGTGGGGAAGAGAGAAGGAGAAAGGGGGAAAGGAGGGAGAGACATGAGGATGGGTAACTGGAAACGAACAATGAGATTATTCCAGAAGGAGCTGTTCAGATAGCAGAATAAAAAATGGGGAGAGAGTTAGGGTTGGTATGTATCTGCCAATATCCTGCCTTCCAACAATGACTTGTTCATATGGCAGCATCCTCAGGATAGGAGAATGTCTTAGATTGTAAACTCTTTGGAGAGCTCAACACAAGTACTGTCAAGAATTGTGTCTCTTTGTTCTGCTGCTGTGCTTAGCTTTCCTACCAGTAGTGGCAATAGACAATGAATATAGAAGAGGACTGCCTCAGATCCCTTTTCCCCCCAAAATGGAGTGTGGGAGTAGAACAGAGTAGCAGAAATGTCTTTCCTCTGCATCTCTTCATAGTAGGCTCTGGATGGGGATGAATTATACCTTCTCTTTTCCATCAGTTAAGTGGATAGGAGGAGAGAGTTTCAAAATCTATCAGATAGCCATTAGGCAGAGGCTTATGGAAAATGTGGAGTCCCCAAATAGGATCCAGGAACACCATTCTGATAGAAAACTGAGCACCTGAGGGTGGCATAGGGGATGAGCTTCTCACTAGGGCATTGCCTCTTATCTGGGGAGTGGAACTACCCCACCATCTCTTTTAATCTTCCATGCTTAATATTTATCTAAAGCACTTAATGCTGTTTTGGTGCTATATAAAAAGGGGTCCTTATCACAAAACTTACACTATAGATAATGTACAGATGAAGAATAAGGGATGCAATGCAACAACAGCTAGTGAATAAATAATGTTGCTTAACACCCGCATAGTAAATTCCCACTTCTCCCCCCCAGTCATTTGTTTTGTTTTGTTCTTTAGCAGAGAATTAGGAATATTAGGATTCTTGGAAAAAGATTTTTTTTAATTTTCAGCACCTCAGCCTGAACTTCCTGAGCTGCCAGTAGTGTTCACAGAATCACAAGCAGCCTTTAACAATACCCCAAAATCAGGGGATTGTAAAAATTTTCAAGAGATGATTAAAACTGCAGCACATTTTAGAGCATGCTTCACAAACTATTAACATAACAGATGTGGGTAATGGGAAAAGAGAGTGAATCGTTTTATCCGTCACCTTCAATGTAACATCACAGAGTTCCCCAGCTTCATAGAAGTGAAGAAGAGAGCTATGAAAATCCTTCCAAGCTTCATTTGCTTCAAATACGAAGATTTCTTCGCCATCACTGTTCAGAGATCTATCCTGCTGCTGCTTTTGCTGCTGCTGCCTTTTCCCTTTTATTTGATAGTGTTTTGCTGATTCTGGGGTCATAGATTCTGAAGCCATTGGATGTTTTCTTCTTTCACAGCATGAATATTCAAACATTTCCCATAAAAAAAACAAGAAAAATCCAGCTCCATCAGAACTCAGGCCAAACGTCCAAAGTCAAGTAGAATCGCCATCTTCCTATTTGCAATGATAAAACAAAAACAGATTAGACATTTTCTTTTGATAGTCTTCTCCAAATGTACATCATGTCTAATACCCAATGTGCACTTTCAGAGTTCTTACCAGTAATTCTGTTCCTTTCAAGATACCATCACACAGGAAGCACCAGACCCACAAGTCAGAATCCTGTGCAGATAGTATCTTTAAAAAATGTAGGATTTCTTCTCTAGGGAAAATTGATTTGACTTTATTTAAACCTAGTAAGATATTTCAATCTGAAAATGTGTTTTGTATGTTTAGTCAAAATTAAGTGTAATGAAAATATCAAAGACATTCTGTATTTAACAATTTTTCATAAATAAAAAGAATTGTAATTTGAAAGTATTTTAGAAATTTGTTTGTACCTAGAAGCTGTGAAGTGGAAAATAAAAGGAAAGAAGCAATTTTTAATGCTCTTATCTAGCAACCTCAGCGTACCAAATTATTTTTCTTGATCTTTGAGGCATTAAAATGAAAATGCTGTACAAAACTTTGTTCCTGCTTCATCAAGAATGACTGCCTTTTCATTCAGACCTACACTGAAACCTTCTAAGTAGAGAGGGTGCCCAATATTGTTTATGTAGTTCTCTACAACTAAAGAAATTTTAGATGTGATGTCAATACATCTCATCCAGGATCATGAAAAAATGTTTGTTTAGAGTAGGGGGAAGGAGTGTGTTTTGAACTTCTGTGTCATTCTCAAGTATGTACATGAGGATAATAATTGACTTTTTAAAAAAATATATAACAGCAATATTAGGCGCCAACTTCAATTTGTGAATGAAAACTCAGTTAAGGGAAATGATGAGGGCTAAAATTTTCGGAAGCATCTACTTGACTTAGGTTCCTAAGTTCCATTTACGGAAGGGACGTGGGGCTGGGCTCCCAAGTCATTTAAATGTTTTGAAAATTCTGTCCAAAAATCAAAGTTCTTGTCATGTCTGCTATGAAACATTAAAGCCTGGTCTACACTAGGAAATTAGGTTGGTATAACTACATTGCTCAGGGGCGTGAAAAATCCACCATGTTAAACCGACCTAAACCCCAGTGTAGACTGCACTAGGTTGACAGGAGAATTTTCCCATCAGCCGCCTCTCAGGGAAGTTGATTATCTGTGCCAATGGGAGAACCACTCCCAATGGGGTAGCGTCTTCACTGAAGCCCTACAGCGGCACTGCTGCAGCACTTGTGTGTAAATAAGCCCCTTAAGATTTTAGCTCAAGTTAATATACCTTTCCCCCCCACAGGCTTACAGGGCTGCAGAGAAAGGGGAGAAGAAAGGTATCTGTCACAGCTTTCTTTAAAAAAAGGAGAAGGGATATTATCGTTGGAGTGAAGTCCCTCATTACCAGCTGCCGCTGTACCTCAGAGCTAACTTAGAAAACACATTAATAGGCTCTAGCAAGATGATCCAGGTTTATACATAAATGCTGTTCCCTTTGAAGTTGGGGCTTGTCTGGGCTTGCTGGGGGGGGTGGAATTTAATCCAGTTTTTTGCTGCATGTCAGGTAATGCACAGTATGCAGCACAGTAACAACATGCACACAGGATATTTAGGATATCAGTAATTTTTCTCTTCTACTTATAGCATTCTGAAAGATCAAGAATTTAGATGTACAGAGTGTAATATTTGTGAAGAAATGACTTAATGGAATGGGAACTTCCTTAGAGCATTTTGCAGTGGTTTGCCCTTTTTTACTGCAGAGTTGCTTAAGCATCCAAATATTGTATAGGAACTGCACGCTCCTGTGTATAACAGTATTGATGCCTTCCTTTGAGTTTTCTTTTTATAAAATTTGTGGGAGTACACAGAATTTATTAAACAATGTGACAGTTGAATTGTTAATGTTAGGCTACTACTGTCTACAATCACTGGGAATCAAAGATCCTCAAAATTAAAACAAATAAGGAAGTAGTATTTTTAAGTAACGGTTAAAAAGGGAGTAACCATACAGGAAGACAAATATAAAATTGTTTCTGTAGCCATTAGTAATAAGGCTATCCAGTGTGTATTTCAGTGGTACTGAAAGCACTTTTCACTTCTATGCTGAATCTTGCTATTACAATGCTCCTCTCTGATAGCTACGTTTACTCTCTTAATTCTTGGAGCAATTTAAAACTTGATGGAATACGGGAAACAAGTTGGCAAACATCCCTAATTTCTAGTGTATACAGTACAAATATCCAACAAATAGGAAAGGGCACAACATGCTTTATACCAGGAATAACAAGAAAACTTTCAATATGTTAATATCTTAATTTCTAAATATGAGGACAAAATGGCTGGAACATGGAATCATAATCTTGCCACTAGTGGAAGCAATCTGAGCCACAGATCTATAGAGACAGAAAAATTAATAGGACAGTAAACTTGTCAATCTGACTGAAATTTTTACCTACTTTTTTCCCTCCAATTACAGTAATTTTAAATATATACCAGTAAGTAAAATATTCTACTTTGTGCATTTGAAACAATTGTATCTAGTCAGTTTAAAAAACTAAATAAATCAGAATAAAATAAATTACACCTATAGGTACCCACCCAGTGCTCTAGGCACCTTCCCAATTTCCACTGCATAGGTAGTTTCCCATGTTTGTGTGGGTCTGGCACAGCAACAGGGAAGCTATGAGAGGGATAAATCTGTAAAGCCATATATGGCAGGGCAACTTGGGTATCTAAAATAACTGAAGCTTTTTAACAATTGACTAGATTTAATCTAGCTGGTATTCTTTTGAGACAGACAAGAATAAAGGTTATTTTCAACTGAAATGTGAAAGGAGATTGGCACGAGCTACAGTCTGATATATCCTTGTTTAGAACAGAGGAGAAGACTCTTCCACCAACATTGGCAAGACTACAAGTAGGCAGTACTATACTTCCACTAGGTGGAAAATAGATAACGTTCAGGAGGTCAGCTGGCGTCAGCCAATGGAACAACATGAAAGCATTAAAAAAGTGTAGAATGAATTTGAAATGGATTGTAAGTTGACTGGTGAGGAAGTAAAGTTGCTTCATGATAGGGCAATACGTGGTTATGTTTTGAACCATGGAAGGCTTCAGGCAGCAGCATTCTACATATGCTGGAATTTTGAGCGTTTGGACTTAGGGAGGTTATTTGAAAGGATACACTGCAATAACCAAAAGGACCAAAACATGGATGAGAATTCAGCATAGATTAAACTGAGGCAATAGCACCTAGGCATACATAGACAATATTGCAGAAGTGGTGACAGGCAGATCTGTAGACACAAGTAGTAGGAGAGTGTTCATGGTTTAAGATGATACCAAGAAGGTTAGAGAGTTGTTACGGGAAACAGTATTTAGTTCACCCAGACATGTATGTAATGTTAGTGTTATTTTGATGTAATACAAATAGATTCTAACAGGATTCTTCTAGCAATACTCAAATTAATTCTATAGCAATAAAGTTTAGATATATTGATAAACTGTGTCTACAAAACACTTTATCGTGACATAAAAATAGATGTACTATGTTAAATTAAGTCATCTCATTGCTTGAACAAAGTAGGTTTTGGCCCTGCTACTAATGAGAACTGTTTTGGGGAGGAAAACAAAAAAAGTTAAGTCAGTGACTTAGTCAAGTCTTTCCTATTGATGCAAATCTGTGATTTACATCTTCTTGTTTTAAATCATTCCACCCTGCCTGAAGCACCATTTATAACCCTTATTTCATCTAAGCTAGTATTGGTACATACTATTTACATAAACAGCTACTCTTACAACCTAAGATGACTATTTACAAAACTACCTACTCACATTTCAGAATGTCTGACTTGCTCTAAGTTAACTGTGACATCACAGATACTATGTGATTCCCCTATGGTTAACCTAATAGATGGAGAACCAATAAGTTAAAATGGTACAATTTTGCTAAGTTTTTTTTAATATATTAAATCTTTTGAACAATTAGAGGCAGTTGGCATGGTCAGTTAATGTTTGGAACTACAATGTTCACCAAAAGGAAAGGAGTACTTGTGGCACCTTAGAGACTAACCAATTTATTTGAGCATGAGCTTTCGTGAGCCACAGCTGTGGCTCACGAAAGCTTATGCTCAAATAAATTGGTTAGTCTCTAAGGTGCCACAAGTACTCCTTTTCTTTTTGCGAATACAGACTAACACGGCTGTTCCTCTGAAAAATGTTCACCAAGCTTCTTTTTGGTATTCCAGCTACATCGTACATGTCAACTTAAACAGAAGTAGCTAAGCCTAAAGAGGGAAGAACTTGGCTATGTCAGCCTTTTTTGTCATCTGCCTGGCTCCAACTCAAAAATCCAGGCTGGACTCATGCTCCAGGGTTTTCCAAAATCTTTTCAAAAGCTGAAACAAATTTTGTCCATGACAGCCTAAGGGACAACTATCCACCCTACATGCAGCGTTATTCCACTAGGAACTTCCTCTCTTTTCAGTCTCCATCTGAAACAATAACGTCCATTTTTGGAACTACAAGGATTAGCTCTGTCTTGTCCACAAGCAAGGCTGAAACCCATGCACCAATAAAGCCCACATTACAGCACCGAATTCTGCAGCAAGTAAAATTCTGCAGCTGTTTCAGGTAAACGGAAGTTGAGGTTCTTATGGAAAATGGAAGTTTTTACTGAATTAAATAAACTGAATAGTATTAAATATATACTGATAGAATTTGCATTAAAAAAAATCAGCGTGTTATGATACACCCCAAATTATGATTGCCTACATAGCACAGATAGTCTTTGTGACGGGCAATATCAGAAACTCTGAGGCCCCCTGCTGGAGGCCTTGTGGCCCTGCCACACCCTGCCCCACAAAAGGGCAGTGAAGAGGGTACTCCAAGCTGCCTAGAGTGGCTGTGTGGGACACAGCCAATCAGGGCCCAGCAGGTCAGTATAAGAAGAGCTGCAGGGCTTAAGTTCCAGTTCCTTGCTAGAGCTGGAGGAGCATGGATGGTGTGTGGCTGGCTGAGGGAGCTGCAGGACCTC